CAGTTATTTTTAGCAGCAATAACACTGAAAACTATTAAATATTAAAAACGACGACAAAAACTAACAAAAAATGAAAGTGAGAAAATTTTTTTACATCAAATTAAGTGCATTACATTGAGTCGTTCTCTTCATTCAAATTGATGCATCTGATAGTACCGAATAAGCTGTATGAGGTCAAACAAATTAGTTTACTCCTTTTATTCTTTATCAAATTTAGCATCTTTTTTTCTTACTCAAAAAAAAGATGCTAAATTTGATAAAGCAGCTATTTGAAAATGACGGGTAGCAGAAGAGTAGACAATATTTGTTTCCGAAACAATTTTTATTTACTCAGTTTCCGCTTCAAACATCGTTGCAGAAAACTTTAAAGCTCAGTTACTGTCCGGCAGTTCAGAAAACCTGCCAAAACTTACCAATAATCACCTACTAATTTCAGCAAACAATTCTATTATAGCATAACAAAAATTGATTTTTATGTAAAAAAGTAGACAAATGCTAAAAATCTGTGAAATATATTGTTGAGTAGCCGTTTACTGCAACTGCTTCCTTACAACTTACAAAAAAATGTAGCTGTTGATTAGAAAAAAGCGAATAGTCTGTAAGGCTGTTTTTCACCTTAACCTTAAAACTAAATATATCGAAGTTAACACAATATATTTGCACTACACTGTTCTAAAATATGTAATCCAAAAAAAAAAGAACAAGACGTGTCTTACAATCGTAAAAAGTGGAACAACTGATAGCTATACAAATATAATATTCTTTAGTTGTTGTTGTTGTTTTTTTACTGTTGCTGCTGCTACTATCGTTATTATCTTCACTAAGTAAGATGTCAGATTGCTTTCTTTTTCACCATTTTAAGCACTCATTTTTATCTCCCTAAAAATCTTTGTTCTTCCAGCTAGAAAATTAAAGTACAAATGTAAATTTATGATGACGTTGATGGTGGTAATACCTTTCCATTGATTTCAAACGCAGGAACGCGGCCAAGTGGACTTTTTGCCAAGAACCAGTTTGGTCCTTGTTCAGGATTTACATTGACAACTTCAACACTAGAAATACCTAAAGTTTACGCCACACAGAAAATAGCTTTAAAAAAAAAAGCTGCCTTTTTTTCTGCGTTAAGAAAACAAAATTTTGGGATCATCTTTTGAAAAGAAAAAAAAGAACTAATTGTCACTAGTGTAAATAGTTGTTACACAAATTTGTTCTCTGCTTTTTTTTCAACTATAAATTACTAAAATTTTTTTATAAGCTTACGGTATTCCTTTTCGAGCAACATAGATGATGGCTCGTTCAGCATAAGGACAAAAACGCATACTATACAACCTCATAGTTCCCGGAGCAGCATATGGTTCAAAAGAACCTGTGAAATTGAAAAAATACGGCAATAAAGTTCAATATTTTAGCGAAAAAGAAACCACAAAACCTCTGTATATTCCAATCAGAATTAAAATTACAATCTCGCAGCTCTAGTGCATCGTTGTTCTATTAGTATTCAAAAAAATCACTGTAGATACTTCTAAGAATTCCAACTCAGTGACTTTAATCATTTGCTTAACTAAAAAGATTTCTGCCAAAAACAAGAATAGACACCTGGATGTAATGTCAGTGAGTTTAAACCCCTTATATTCATCCCTACAGTCGTTGGATTCGGTGTAAACGGTTGCTGAAATTGCACATCTGGTGGTTTCGGTAATGAATTCATCTTACTGCCAATTGGATTATTCAAATTCAGGTTTATAGATGGTACAGTATTTGGTACAGCAATACGAGCCATCGAGTTAAAAGTGGACAGGTTTGAGACTGGGATTATCGTTGCATAAGTGTCATTGAACTAAAGTTTCAAGTGTAAATGTTATTTATACTGTTGTAGTTAAAGTTTCACTCTTGAGAAGTAAAACTGCTACACCTCAAAGATTAAATTCTGATTTCAGAAGTTTTAATAAACAGTCGAAGAATGAACTAAAAATCCAAACGTTTACCATTGGAGCGCCACGTTGTCCAGGCCTACCCATTATAATGGTTGCCAATTCCGAGAGGAATCTCATGCACAACGCCGCAGACGTTGAACAATTGCCGATATGCATGGTAATTGTTTGTTAGTGTCTTCTGCTTCTGAAAATTCAATAGAGAATCGTAGACAAACACAAATAAGTTTTATCAGCATATAAGTGTATTAATTTGGCGTACGAAACAGTTAGAAGAACCAATAGTTGAAGTAAAAATAGTGAACTAGAATTCAATGTTTCAACGCTGTTTTGGAGACAGCTGAAAATTTGCAAATACCAACTAACTAGTTCTTTTTCAACACTCACCTCAGCAACCAAAAAAAAAAAAGAGAAAGAAAGAAAGAAAAAATTGTATTGAGTTAGTTAGAATCTTTTTTAATAGTTTACACCCATCGTCTAATTTGTTCAACTTGGTAGTTGGTACTGTTATATTATTTGGCTTTTAATCTACAGTTATTTAGTATGTAAATTTTTTCTTTCTACAACTGTGGCATTGTCACTTTCGTTGCAGTAAATTTGTCAAAAAAAGCTGCTAAAACAAGTTCCACTTTCTGTCCAATAACTCTAGACTAAAAACGACTGAATATCACTAGATTTATAAATACATCAGTAACATAAAAGAGCAAAAAAAGTACAATAAATAATTAGATTAATAATATCAAGAAATTGATACGGTAGAAGATAAAGTTTAAGTTTTTGGTTACAAATTTTTGCAAACCCATCCAACTAACAGATAAACCATTTCATCTGTATTCTCTTATTGCTCTTTTTTTTTCGTTTTAAGAAACTTTTTTTTTTTTTGCATAAAATCTACTTTTGAAACCTTATCACTCACCACCCCTGTGCTTAGATGAAAAATTTAAACTTCAGAAAGCAATGTTTTTAGTGAGAAACAATGAGTTGAAAAAATCAAGTTGATAAATTCAAAACTATTAATAATTGTTCTTTTACTACACTTCTGCAGTTTTCACATTTTTTTTTTCGTATTCTTCAATTTTATACAACGTTCACCACTTATTAATTCCACTTGATAAAAGTTTAGCAGAAAAGTAACAACAATAGTAACAAAAAAAAAAGTATATGAAAGTATTAGTTTACAGCAACCTGCTAACAGAGCTATCTTTACCATAGACAGAATGTTTTCATCCAAACTTCAAGCTAGATAAGAATACGTTTAACTGTAGTTGCTTATATAGCAGATAATTGCAGACGTTATCGCCACCAACACTCAAGTAAACATTTGTGTGTTAAAAATCTGGTCCAAAAAGTGCTAAGCCTATCTTGGGATTCAGAAAAAAAAAAAAAAACCAAAACAAAAAAGTAAATAGAAAAAAAAACAGCTTCAGATGGGCGTGGATAATTGGCAAAGATTATTCTGTGTTGTCAAAATAAATCCTCTATCACCTGTTATAATATACAGTTTTCAAGAAGCAACAGAAAAAATCCTGTAAAGGAAGAAAAACAGAAAAGACTGATGCGTCTATCCGATAAGGCAAAGAAAAATAGTTAAAAAATCTTTGCAAATTTTTTTTTATCGTTCTTCTATGTCTTTTTATCCTCCTTCTTCTTCTTTTTCTTCTTCTTCTGTAACAACTGGAAATTCAGGAAAAGTTGTGATAATAAGCAAAAATTGGTTTGTCAAGTGATCCGTTGCCACTGTTGGACAGTCAGCCAGTCGCAAGCATTTAATTTGTTTTCTCAACGATTCTTTAAACAGCACCTAAGAGTTGAGGCGAGAAGAAAAAAAAACTGTGACAACAGAAGAAAGAAGAAACAAAGTCTTAAAACAGTATTTTAAAATAAAAAAAAAGAAACTTTTTTTTTTAACTTTAAAAAAATTTCACTTCTTAAACCGTATCATTTGATAACATTTATCTGCAACATTTCTATTTTATACTAAACAAAGTTTAGTGTTTCTAAAAGTTTGGCAACAATAATTTGTTGTTTTATTTCTAACATGTTTTTTTTTACTCCTTCTTTAATTTCTTTTAATCATTTCTTTATGTGGTTATGTAGTTTATTGTAAGAAAATGCAAAAGATTTTTATATTGTTTAGTCAATTTTTTTTTGTACCAAAAAGAAGTTTTTCACTATTTGGTCACACCAATATTTGGTCTGTTTTTTCTATTATATTGAAAAAATATACATACATTCTTTTTTATTGCTATTATTGTTGAATTGTAGTTTACATTTGTTAGCTGTACTGTTAAATTACAGATGATGTATGACAGTGTTATTGACCAAAAAAAAAAAAAAAAAAAAAAAA